CGAACTCTATGCTGACTGGACAAGCCTTACGTAGTCCGTGATTCAAAAACTACTTAACCAACAGCATGGGCCAAATGTACAGCTTCGGCTCCGAACGCCACTACACTTGCGGACCACATAACTAACTGCAGAAACGAACCGGGGCCACCTTGAAGAAGGGAAGAAGAAACGTCAACACTAGCCAATTACTCGATTGATCAACTTATTAATCTGCGTTATGCATAAATAATCGTTTTTATGTATTTTTAAGTTTTCAAAAGAACCACCAACACACGAACAAATTACTCAACCACGCTTCATTAAGTCAATGTACAAAAAATGTACCAGTGAAATTTTGTTACTCATCAAGTCCATTCTCAATGCTGAGCTATTGTGAGTTACACCTGTTTTTATTCCTTGCATTTTCTGTTGAGTTTCAACACGTAGCGCTCATTGTCGCCCAAAATGTTTACGTCTATTTTGAGTGTTTGTTGAAATCACCACTTGGGGCCATGTATGCAAGTATAACGTCTTTGGTTTGTGAAATCCGTAGTATGCTCAGCTTTCCTTCCATAAGGCGCCAGCTATTGCGTTGTCAATGGAACAGTCCATCTCCGAATGCAGATCTGCCTCTACCTTGTTGCTCCAGGCTTCCGTTTTAGCGAATTCGAAATGTGAAACGAATTTTGTTACTAGCTTCAACACACCTCAACCCTTAATCCTATTTGTTAATTAATTTACATGCATATTTTCAGCCATAAGACTGAAAGCTACTCAACGCAACAGGCAAAGATGCATGTTTGTAATAACAACAAATTATAATAAGATGAATGAATAAACAAGAGCACATACAAAAGTCTACGATGTCGTTGAACGGGTGAATTAGTTAAAGAAGCAATGGGCAAGGCGAAATGCGAAAAATATTGACCATCACTGAACCAGAGAGAGATTGGGCTGGAGTGAAAGAGAAAGTAAACGACCCTCAGAAAGATCCACTGATCAACGGCACGGTGAGTTGAAGAAACTCGCCGGATCAAGATGGATAAAAGCGGCAGAAAGCAAACGCTTGTGGTAGAGTTTTGAAGAGGCCTTCATCAATCAGTGGACAGGAAAACGCTTCTAATGATGATTAGTTTCAATCACTTTTCATAAACTGCAATGATGGGATGATTATAGCCGGATGAAAACGCACAGCCCATAGAGTGTATGGTGGAATGCGACGCGACTCCTCACGACCAAACCCGGGAGTAAAGTGATATGACCTTGAGTCTAATAGCGGGCGAGGGAAAAAACAGGATACTCCATGACAATGGCTGACCGGCTACAGAAGAAGGCTGAGTAAGAAGTTGATAGGCTTTGTCTGTGAATGAAGGGCAATCGCGTTACAAAGCAAATTTCAAAGAACATCTACCACGCGATGACAAGTGTGATTAAAACTTGGTCGATTCAGATAAAACAGGTTCTTTCAATTCGACGGAAAGAATGCACGGCTACGGAAGTCGGGTATTTTCGATGTATAACGATAAACTAGAAAAACTGGCCTGCATTGAGCCTATCCAAATGCTGGACCAATCTAATGATACTAGCTCTTGCTTTTCTGAAAAAAACCGTTTTAAAGTACCTATGCGAAGAGCTGGTCACAAGCAAAACAATGGATAGCAACCGAGAAAACGTACAGTGAAACCTATTCTTTTTACCCAAAAAGACCTGCCATGAACACCGCCATATTCAGCTAACGCAGAGATGAAATGAGGGATTGACAAGCATCTACAAGCCTCTTAGGAAATTCTGTTCATGAGGATATTCTGGTTAAAAAACCGGAAGAAACAGCCTGAACCACCGTCCTATTAATCTTTAATGAAAGCCTGGTAAAATCCCTTTAGCCTGCCGTCTATTCTCCACGAATACTTAAGCATAACTTAAATATCGAACTGTACAGTTATTTTTACAAGTTTCACTGTAAAAGCCAACGTTCTGTTATTAACGCAAAATTTCTCCAAAATCGGATTTTCGGATTACTGCACCGTCTTCTTGCTCCTATTTTTCTGAGGATGGGAGAGGGTCACTCAAGCAGACAAGCGCTGCATGATATTTGATCACATTGAGTGTCTGTTGATGATTATGTCACTGTTACTGTTATTTTTTTTAAATAAAAATGAGTCACACGCAAGAAATGTCACTTTTATTCAAAGGACATTTGAAAGAGCCTTCACTCTGTCCACATTAAGTGATAAGTACACAACATGTCAGCATAAATTTAAATATTGCCTCGTATTCCAAAATATATTAATAAGTGCTCAAGCTTTATAATACTGGATGTAAGAATGCATTTCGCCGCCTTCCTGCTCCTCGTTGCCCAAAGGGAAGGCCGTTTAAGGCCGTCTAATGGTTTCAATCCTATATCTGCGGTGCTAGATGCATTTTCATCATTTCTATTTGTCGAGAGAACAGTTTGTTCATTACCAAAGAAACTAAAAGCCAGCACTCCTTATATGCACTACTATTCCAATGCAGATGACTTATTAGTCGGAGCGATTAACTTTCCCATTTCCGGATTTCATCAACAAGTGACGTGGAATACA